ATGAGCTTATTAGAAGCATCGAGTTGGCCCTCACCTCACAAGACATCGCTGAAGTTACACAAACGCTCTTAAATTTGGCTGAATTCATGGAACACAGTGACAAGGTGATACTTCTCCCCACTGCCCAGATGGAGGCTGACGAGAAGCAGCTGGTGGGAGGGGCGAAGCATCTGTGCAGCTCTCTCTTGTTTGGCCTTCTGCCATCTTCCTATGCTGTGGGGTTTTGTTCTTCTCTAGGGTCCCCTGCCACTGAGAGACGACAATGGCATTGTTCTGCTGGGGGAGAGAGCTGCCAAGTGCCGAGCATATGCCAAAGCACTACACTACAAAGAACTGGAGTTCCAGAAAGGTCCCACCCCCGCCATTCTAGAGTCTCTCATCAGGTAGGCTGTAAACCCTTTTCAATTGCTGCCCTCATCCAGAATGACCTCCCTTCTCCCCTGCTGGGTACCACTTCACTGGAGTCACTCAGAGACTTCTACTCTGTGAAATCCGCCACTGGGTCTGGCCAGCACTGGCCAGCACGTTTAAGTGACATGTGATTGCAGATGGCTCTTCCCAGGAATTTAGCCATTAATTGTCATTTCTGTTGACCTTTACCACCTGTGCTCCTGTTTTCCAACCTATGCTTTCTTGTCCCAATGAAATTAGTTTAGAAGCAGTTTTGTGGCTATGACAGCTTAGGGTTTATGTCTGCTTGAGTGAGTGCTTTCAGGGCTGGAGTAGGATGTACTGGTTCCTGAGCTTCAAAGACAGGGTGGAGTTTTATTGACTAAATGTATCAATGCCCAAGTCTTCCTTCTCTGGAGTTTTATTTACATAAAAGGCAGAGCATAGTCTGAGATCTGGAGGGCTTTTCCAATTTGGTCATGTTCTTTCCTCTCATGAAATGGTTTTGAATCTTCTGGGTATGGAAAAAATGGGTTGTTTAATAAATTTTCTGCTGTTAGGAAATTACAAGCAGTTGGAAACATTGGGCCCAGCTCCTAGACAATTGTTCACTCCCCCTAATGATTACAAGAATATCAAATCTGGGATCTAATTATCTTCATATAAATGCTGACATGGTTGGATCATTTCATAACACATAGTTCAGGAGAAATCATCCAACTAGTAAGTTCCTCCATCATGGCTGACAGCCTCTGTGTGTAGTGCCTTCTTCATTTGAGAGGGTAATCAAATAGCCAGGTTCTCTGCTAGCTCTGCTTTTGAGCACATATTAAAAAGCATTCCTTTAAACATTTAAAAGAGTGACCCACAAGGTAGAAACAGAATCTTGTTTCTGCCTAAATCAATTGGACCTTGAGAGAATGTTGATTTCTAAAATACCATATACAGCCGGGCTCGGTGGCTTAGCCTGTAATCTCGCGCCTTTGGGAGGTTGAGGTGAGTGGATTGCCTGAGCCCGCAGGTTTGAGACCCGCCTGGGGAACTTGACGAGACCTCATCTCTACAATAAATAAAAAAAAATTAGCCGGGCGTGGTAGCGTGCACCTGTAGTTCCAGCTACTTGGAAGACTGAGGCGGAAGGATCACCGGAGCCCAGCAGGTCGAGGCTGCAGTGACCGGGAGCGGCCACTGCACTCTAGTCTGGGTGACAGAGTGAGACTCCAACTCAAAAAAAAAAAACCTAAAATAAAATAAAAATTAAAAAATTAAAAATACCATATACATATAAGAGCAGTTATAAATATGCCATCCTATGAGGCATGCTTTAGTTTCAAATCAGGCACTGTAAATGTGAAAACCCACATTTCTCCCTCTTATCTCTGGCATAGGTAATGCAGTCTCACATAATAACTAATAGAAAATCTGGTAACTGAATATGATAACTTTAAGGTCAAATAAACTCATTTTGCTTATTAATTTCCTTGCTAACCTTTTTCTTTTTGAGACCTCTCTGAAACCTGCCCCATTCCACCCTTTGTTTTTTCCTCATATTTGAGGTAATCGTAGAAACATTAATGTTTATGCAGATTTGTAGTAGTAGAAAGGTATAGTCAGAGGCCTGGAAAAATGCTCAAGGAGGTCATTTACCTTCTGAAGTGGATATAATTGAAAGTGAGTCCTCAGAATTCCCTGCAGATTGGCCTTGGCTTTCTTTTTTTTTTGAATTGGAGTCTCACTCTGTTGCCCAGACTGGAGGCAGTGGCACGCTCCTAGTCACCACAGCCTCAACCTGCTGGGCTCTGACGATCCTTCCGCCTCAGCCTTCCAAGTAGCTGGAACTACAGGCGCGTGCTACCACGCTCAGCTAATTTTTTTGATTTATTGTAGAGATGAGGTCTCGCCAAGTTGCCCAGGCGGGTCTCAAGCCTGTGGGCTCAGGCAATTCACTCACCTTGGCCTCCCAAAGTAAGGGATTACAGACTGAGCCACCAAGCCCGGCCAGCCTTGGCTTTTTATAAAATTCTGTTCTGGGGGAATGCCAGCACTGCCGGCTCCTCAGGCTGCTCCAGTCAAGTCAACTTGGCTTGCGTTTCTGTCTCCCTTCTACTGGTCTCCTGTATATTCCCAATACCTTGCAGTTTTTACTTCTGATTTTCTAAACCCTGTTGTGGTGTTATGCCATCATCTTCACTGAAGAAAGTTTTAAGAAACAACCTTAGATGAGGCTGCTGCTAAGCAGGTTGCTCATACTACTCCCAGTCCTGTGAGTGAGCCTCCTAGAGACTCTGCATGGTCAGACCACTGGTGCTCGTGTGTCCCTAAGCTACGTCTGTTCTTGGGATGTTACTTTTCAGTAAGAGACTTGAATTCCTTTCCTCACAGTGCCTCAGAGCAAAATTCCTGGTCCACCTCTAACAAATTAGACATCTTACTTGATTTGACTACTGACTCTGGCTCCCAGCTTTATTTTCTTTTTCCTACTCTCATTTTCCCTTCACCAATTTGTCTACTTTTTTAGAGCTTATTGTAATATATATATACTTGGGTCAACTGCCTTAAATTCCTTTTGAAACAATCAAGATAGTCCTGCACAAAAACATCTTTGTATAGCTGTTTCTTATTTTTTTTGTTACTGTTTTAAAAATCTGTGTTCTACTGACAATGTTGTTCTCTTGCCAACACAATCTGTTAACTTTTTTTTTTTGCCTATCTGCTCCAGAACAAATTAAATCTCATGTGTAATTCTCAAACCAAGACTAACATTGAGATAGTATAAACTAGTTTGTTGTTGTTGTTTTTGAGTTGGGGTCTCACTCTGTTTCCCAGGTTGGAGTACAGTGACACACTCCACAGCCACTGCAGCCGCAACCTGCTGGGCTCAGGTGATCCTTCTACCTCAGCCTTCCAAGTAGCTGGAACTACAGGCACACGCCACCATGCCCAGCTAATTTTTTGATTTATGGTAGAGATGAGGTCTCGCCTAGTTGCCCAGGCTTGTCCCGAGCCTGTGGTCTCAGGCAGTCCTCTCACCTCAGCCTCCCAAAGTACTGGGATTATAGGCATGAGCCACTGTGTCCAGCCGATAGTATAAACTAGTATAACCTACTCATCTCCTCCAAGCTTAATTATCAGTAAGTATAATTGCTTCTTAGGGGGACAGAGAAGAGTGGGTATTCAGTGTTAGGAAGATGTACACACTGGGAACTGGGTGGGCTGTTACTTGGTGAGCCCAGAGCATTAGGGTAGGATTGCTGGCTGGGCTTTGTTTCCCCACCCCAAGTAGAACGGGGGCTGATCAAAGCTGGATGCTTCCACTGCCCAGCCCCTGGCGTGTCATCCCCTTTATAAAAATGTTTCTGCTCGAGACATCTGCAAAATTAAAAATCAAAACAGGGCCCGGTGCTTACTAGGTGGACACGCAGCACCAGTAACTGCCTGTCAGACTGATCTGTCATTTCTTCTGCACAGTGTTCTTCTTGTTGGTACCTCTTTCTCTTGCATATCTTAAGGGATCTGGTCAGAATAGATCTTTCTTTACCTTCAAGAGCAACACTGAGCTCTCCTTTTGGTTTCTGGTAGTTCTATCCTCTTCCAGGTCAGAGACTGTGCTGTACTCTCGTATCTGAATCCTTGGTGTCTACCCATCGCTAACCTGCACCAGAACAGATGCTTTAGACACGCAGGTACTGTTGGAGTTGCCATCATTGCAGGATAAGGGTTGGGGGCATTCTATGCCTTCTTTGACACCTGCTGTCCCTCTTCCCTCTGCCTCTCTCTCTGAGAAGTTCCTTCCAAAAGGTGAAGGAAACCATAGAGGCTGGCTTAAAATTAAAAGCCTTGGAGGTTTTTTTAAATTGTGGGGTATACAGGAGATGAGAGAGAAGATGATTAGCTACTTCTGCCACAGGTATCTTGCTCCCCTCTCCGTTTAGGCCCCTGATAGGTTCCTCCTCTTTTTCCTGGCATTGTGGTGCTGAGCATCTCAGATTCTCCTGCCTGCTTGAGGAAGCTTCTGTTTGAATTTCTGTCCCATGGGAATCCCTGCTCCAGTATAGCTCTTCTCACTTTTTTTCTTTGCAAATCCCCAAGGTTCTTCTTTTTAAGGTGAAGTAAGTTCTCAAGAATCAAAGGCTTGTAGGCATAATAGAGATGCTAAGTGTAATGGCTTACCTCACACTGACTGGCTCATGGGGATGATTTTTTTTTGGAAAGGAAAAAATGGCTTCCTAAAGGTCAGAATTACTTGACACTTGTTGTAATTGAGGATACTCCCCTCTCTGTATGTTTACAAAGTATTTGGAGTATTTGTTTGCAAAGTGTTTTGAAACCAACAGGCAGCAGTGGCCTTCATAAGGGTTGCTTAGGTGGTCCAGGATCTGATCTTGACCTAGTGACTACTGCCCTTTTTTTCCTTCACCTCTCCCTTTATTGGCTTTCTGCCTCTTCCTCAGTTTCCCTGAATGCTGAAACAAACTCAGAGCCTCTTTCTTACTGCTGACTCTCTGATTTTTCACTTTTTCTACCATGATTTAAGTGGTAATAGTTAAGAATTAAAAAAGAAAAGAGTCATGTTTTGAAAGTGTTTATTGTAAGAAAAGAAACTTGGAATGTTTAAAACAAAACTATAATACTTTATTTTCACAAAGCAAGATGCTTATATACAGCATTCATTATTAAAACCATAGCGCCATCTCTCTTCGTTTTTTTATAGACAAGATAAAAAAGGAAGCTCCTTGAACTCGTTTCTTACAAAGTAAATAAAAATAGATGTATCTGTATTAAGTGAATATTTTAAGGCAGTGTTATGCAGGCAGCCACGAGGGACTCTCCCCACCTACTGGTGCTTCACGCCTTTCTGTGCTATACCTGAGCAAGGCAAGCAGGAAAGTGCACAGAGTCAGTCGCAAGGCCCAGGGCCCCAGAGCTTCCTCTAAGCAAGTCCAGCCTGGTCAGCTCATCTCCAGCCCAACAGCTTTCGTGTTTTTTAAAAAATATGTAGACTGAAGGTAATTTCACTGAACTTAAAAGTGAAATACCTCTCCTCCACCCCCTTTTCACTCCTTTCTCTACTCAAGACCTTTCCTTTAGAATTAAAGTATAGTTCTTTTTAGCAAAGGATTTGATTTTTGCCCTCATGCAACCTAAGCCTTAAGAGATTAATCTCACAATTGTTTTTTTCATAAGACAAATCATACGGAAAACACAAGCTACTGCTGTGTCAGGGACATGGGCAGAGAGAACCCACTCAGTCCAGCCCCATGAGAAGGATGTGGCAGGACCCATTGGCTTTCAATAGTTCATCTCATGTACCATAACACCTTTGGTACATAGAATTTTACTGTGCTCCTTGGAGACTTACTCTTTTGTTGGAGATTATGAGCCATTTCCCAATCTGCCCTTCCTGACACTCTTCCTGTCCTTTGCCTTTGTCCAATCTCCGTGTGTTTCTGTTTCCGCAGCCCTGCTCCACAGCAGCCACCTTTTAGGGCTTAAAGTCTTCTGGGCGAATTTTCATTTCCACCCGTTTGAGGGAGTAGGTGGATCCGTGCCAGCCATACCAGGTGATGCCATCCAGGTGTTTGTTGTGCTCGCCCAGACGGTAGTACACTCCATTAAGGTTGGAGTCCGTGCAGCAGTTGTACCAGTATCCACCTGGCACAAGAAACAGATCAGCACTAGTGAGCTGAGTGTGTCCTCCCTTCAGAAATGGGTAATAGACCAGATATCAGGGATGAGTATTAATTACTTTTTTTGACCAATAGGTAAGCAGTTAGAGCCAGTGTCAGAAAGAATACCAAAGCCAGAAAACCGACTGTGTACAGCTAAAGATTCACTCTTTCTTCTCAAGTGGGATCTAGACCATCCCTGAACTTCTCCTTCCCCATCCCCTCAAACCTCACCTTTGCGCAACTGGGCACACTTGTCCAAGCAGTTGTCATTGTCCTTGTCCTTGGTGCTGAAGGCCGTGTTGTTATGGTAGAAGAGGGCATCGTTCCCCACGTTGCCACTGTAATTCCCCAGGAAGAGGCGATAGCTGTTCAGTTCGTTCCCCAGAACAAAGTGGCTGTACTCAGCATAGCGCAGGTTGCCCTCCCAGTCCTGTTGGGAGAAGCAGAACCTTAGAGAGACCATAGCAGGCTGCATTTCAAACTTTTTTTCTCTTGACAGCCCCACAGCCAAGTATCTTTTTATAGGTGTGAATCTAATAAGACTCTATTACTTGTTTACCTCTAGTTGACCACATTAACCTGAGAATCAGAAAACAAGGGTCCTAGGTCAGACTTCTCTCCTGATTTCCCCTACGACCTTGACTAGTCTCTCTCTCTCTATTCCTTAAGGTGTAGGTGTGTGTTTTCACTGAATTCCATTCAGAGATGTCATGAGAGTAGTGTGAGGATATAATGAGTGCTTTAAGACCTTCAGCAAGGGTCACCAACCTCATGCCCAGACTGGAGCAAAGACCCAGCTGACTGTCAAGTTTGCTGTGCTGTGGCCTGGAGCTAGCTTCCTTCTGTGCCACCAGCAGACCTACTTTTGTGAAAAATAGGAAAAACCTATTTTTCCTCAACTGTGCTGCAACTGCGGGAAACCCATCATATTAAATACAAAGATCTGTGGTGAATCAGAATAGAAATGGTGCCCCAGAGTTGTGCACAGTTGTGCGTGTTGGCCCTGGGCCTATCCTGGGGCCCCAGGCCTCGTGCTCACCTCCATCTCCACACGTAGCCGGGTTGGCTGTCTGGAGAGCCGGTGGATGTGTTCATTCCCCAGCCAGAAGTCCCCACGGATGCTGCCAAAGCCTTGCTTATACTGCTTCCAGTCCCGGTAGAAGGAGACAAGGCCACTCTTTCGTCTCTGAATGGTGGTCCAGCCTCCACCTGAAGTCTCCATGTCACAAAACACCTGGAGTAGAGTAAATACTCTGCTCAGGGATTTGTAGGGGCAGAAACACAAGAGCAGGCTTTCCAACCTGTTTTCTATTCTCACAAAACCAGTGAATATGTTCATTCTCATAATCACACCGGCTCACTATGGCAACAGTGCTGGCCTGGTATTGGTGACCTGGGACAGGGTAGTGGTCTGCTAAGGAAAAATAATCCAAACCAGAGCCAGATACGTGTGCATATATAACTTGAAGGGAAAAATCCAGATACTTCCACTGTACTTCTTCATATTTTCTCTTCTTCTCTCCCAAAGAATAGCTGCTGGTGGACTAGGCAAGAGATTTAAACTAGCAATATAGATTATTTTAAGAATGACCTGATTTAGCCAGGCGCGGTGACTCACGCCTATAATCCCAGCACTTTAGGAGGCTGAGGCGGGAGGATTACTTGAGTTGAGGAGTTCGAGATCAGCCTAAGCAACGTAACATGACCTTGTCTCTACAAAAAGTTAAAAAAATTAGCCAGGCATGGTGGTTTGTACCTGCAGTCCCAGCTACTTGGGAAACTGAGGCAGAAGGATCACCTGAGCCCAGGAGGGTGAGGCTGCAGTGAGCTGTGATTGTGCCACTGACCTCCATTCTGGGCAACAGAGTAAGACCCTGGCTCAAAAAAAAAGAAAAAAAAAAAGAATTATCTGGTCTATACTAGAAGGTCTGGTGTTTGATTGATAATGATTTGAGGGGCCCAAGCAAATGAGTGGTTTTGGGGGGTGGGTCATAAATTGAGTGTTTGTACAGCTGTCTGGTATTTAGGGTGTTGGCTTCTGTTTTGAGTTTCCCTTTCTTTAGACTGTGAATCGCCTTAATGTTGCCATCCCTTTGAGCAGTTGGAGGACAGGTGGTAGGTCATGGGCAGTGGCTATAATGACCTCACCTCCAGCTCAGGACTCCCCAAGAAGTCATCAGGAGGAAGCTTATATACTCCAGAGATACGGTAGTTCTTCTGGTAGAGGGAAGAGCAGTCATAGATGGCATCTGCAAGAAAAACAAACCACAGTGTGAGCATCCAGGCTCAGTCTCCTTGGCAAGCAAGGAATTCCCACTCCATCTGAAGTGGATATTTAGAAACTGAGACTTCATGTTTACCATGGGATTCCCATGGGTGTTAATTATCAGGCAGTGTCTGGACTTGGACATCAGGAAATCCAGGTTTTGGCTACACTAATGGTAGGGCAGAGGGATGGGGGAGCCCTTCACCTGGATAGCATCAACAGGTATTCCAACAGATGGCTTTGGGTTAACTCTGAAATAAAGTATTCTGCAATTCTAGGCTATGAATTCTAGAAGTATTACAATGTGTGAGGGCCATGTAACAAATACTCGTGTTGAAAAGATTCAGACTTTTTAGACAGCCATCTCTACTAGATAAGTCATGAGTATCTCATAGAGTATGGTTTTGGTGTTGTTTCTTGGTTTTTGTTTTTCAGAGGTAGTAGCTACTGCCAACTGGGACCCTAGTTAAGGGAGATAGATTTTACAATTTTATCTTTCTGCCTCAATCCTGCAATGCTAAATCCTCAAACAAGAACACTCCAAGGAACCCTTTGAGGTTTTCCCCAGAAGTTTTGTTAAAACAAGGAAATGAGAGCATCACACAGGCTGATTTTCTCGCTCCAGGGCTAGGGCTGATTTAATCCTTCCTTGGCTGCCTATGGGGCTACTGCTTTTATCTCCCTCTTCTCCACTGTGGAAGTGACAGCCTTTTCGGATAGGATTTGGAGAGCAGGGCCCTTGTCTAGTCTAAGAGGGGCTTCCTGCCCTCTATGTCTTGCAATGTACTTCTTGATGACTACTGGATCTTAGCGAAGAGCACGAAGACAGCCAGTGATAACACTGCTGCCATGGGAGTTGTCTGAGGCACCTTGGTTCCCTGACAGAGCACATTATGGGTACATGTGCCTGTACCATCAGAGTTCTTCATTCCTGTTACTGGTGAAAGCATCCATTTACGGCTGTCTCCAAGGAACTACCTACTTACAGAATACAAGGTGAGTCAGCACCTGGTCATAGAGCAGAAAAATAAGGAATGAGCTCCTGGACAAGAAGAGCTGGAAGACAAGGAGAGCTACATTTGTCCCCTAAGAAACGCCCCGCTGGGTGGTGAGAAAGTCCCCTATTTGGATGAGCAGGAAGTGGCACGGTTGGATTCCTCTGTCTGGCCTGGCCTTCCGCATGTCTGGTTTCATCTCACAGACCAAATCAGGGCTCACTTGTCTGGAAAATGGCCTGAGAATACCTTTTTAATCCCAAACTGAGGGTCAGGAAGTCCAATGCTTAGAAAGTGATTTATACACGTTGGTTTAGAGAACAGGATTTTCAACCTGCTTCCTGTTAAAACTTCTTCATAAATCAAACTGAGGGTAACTAGTGACTTACTCATTAGACACAAATTATGTCTTTTTTCTTGACTTGGTTTATAATGGGACCAACAGTTTTTATATCAACAAGAGATGACATATCTGTAGGACATGCTCTTTACAACTAATAATTTCCTGATCATATCAGAAAACCAAATTTATCTCTAAACAATAAATTCACATTGACCCATCTGAGCCAAGCTAATCAGAAACTGAAAGTTAGTTTGCAAAAGTAACATTAAATGTATCTTATTTTGACCTATTAAAAGTCCATATTTCAGCATTACATTTTCTTATTTCCTGAATATATTTGAGACCAGGGAGAAAAATGGAAGTATCACACAATTGAGGAACCTTGAGGAACCTGTTCTTTCCTGAACACAAAGGTGCTTGTCAGCTGGCTATGGGCAGTGTCTCTATACTTAATTTGGAGTCAGAAGAGTATTATTTGCATAGAGGGGACACATTTGTTGGTGCCCATTCCCACTAAATCTTAGGGACACCAGCGAACCGTTTTTGGCAAAACTTTGCTTCTAGAGCAACAGATGTTACAGTTAGGTGTTCATTCCTGCTTCCTTGGGATTCCTGGCGGTATAGCCTGTCAGCCCTTGGAAAGGAAGTGCCATAGTTACCCCAGCCAGGTAGACTTGAACCCTGCTTCTGAGACATTCTGCGTGACTTTGGCAAACCATGTAATGTCTCAGTGCTTCAGAATGATAATTAATGCCTTCCTAAATTGCTGAAGCACTATGTGAATAAAAGAGACCTGTGAAGGTACTGGATAAATTTACAGAACATGAGAAATCAAAAGAAATACTACCTAAGCCCCAGAAGACCCCCCGGTTCTGATGACTAAATTATCTAGAACCAGTGCTGTGGATGGGAAGTCACTTGGCTGTCTGATGGGGCAGGTGGTACGGCGTGAAGACTTGTTCTCTTACCTGCTGAGGTCTGAGTGACAGTCTGTGCTGCCTGCAGCTGCATGATGTCAATCTGGTTGTTCATCTCGGAGTACTTGCTCTCCGCGTCTGTGAGCCGTGACTCCATGCGCTTGGCATTGCTCTCCAGCTCCATCACCTGCATGACCACGCTGACCCAGTCCCTCTCCTGCTTTTTGCTCAGCTCATTCAGCAGACTGCTCAGGTTGGCGACTTGGGCCTTGAGCTCCTTCACCTCCTCACAGCAGGCGGCCACTTTGAGCTGTGCAGGTGTCTTGCGCTTAGGGGGCTTCTGTAGCCACACTGGGTGGCAGACAAACACCGTGATGAAAATGCAGAGCCAGGTCACAGCCGAGAGAGTCTTTTTCAGCATCTTTTGTAGGCTTGGATGAAGAGGGATCTTCCTTGGGGGAATCTGGATATGCCCAGCTGAGGTCTGCAAAGCTGCAGCAAACAATAACCTTATCCTTTCACCACTTGGTTTTCTTTCTTTCTGTGCTCGTTTTTAGCCCTTCTCAAGGCTCTAGTTTCTGAAAGTAGAGCTTAATGGATATCCTATAGCTTTCCTTCCCAAGCGTGAATGCTCTACAAGTCAGCATCTTAAATATTGTTTGCTGCCTGCACCTCCACCCCCACCGTGGCCGCACGGGGCTTTGGCCCCTCCCAGCTCATCTGGGAGGGTCAGGTGCCTGTTGGGTGAAGTCAGCGTAAACTTAGGCCAGAGGAGGGGAGGAGGGAGGCAAGGGCGAGTCCTTCTTTCCTTGCCGGCACAGGCTCTGGGCTGAGACAAGAGAACTGTGAATTTGTATGTTTCCAGTTTTGCCTATTAGATTATGCCCCTGCCAGCCACTGGCTCAGCTCTATCAGCAAGCAGGACAGGGTCAGAGGAGTTTCCAAATTCCATTCTAAAGGTTATATAACCATGGGGTGAGGGTAAGGTAGGCGAGAGAGAGTTGGGAGTGACTGTACTCGCCCAGGGAGGCCTGGTAATGTAATCCATGTTGTTTACACGAGGCTCTGGTATATTTTGGCATCCTGCTGAATATGCTTTTAACTAGGCTGGTTATTCTTTTCTCTGATCATCATTCAATGTTTTATAAAATCCTTACTCGACCTGGATCTAACACTGTCTCATATTTGAAATTTTTCAACCAAGAAAAGTTCTAGAAATAGAAGGTTAGAGTAAATCTCTTAGGAAGGCTAAAAAGACTTCATAGTTTGTAGCCACAGGGTTTGCACAGTTGTCTTTCCTTTTACATACTTTCTCTTTCAACAAAGAGAAGGTCAGTATTAGTGTCATACTTGACATTTTATGAGGAGGTGTCAAAAGATTACAGCAGAGATGATAATGCAGCAGTGCCAAGCATGATTCTGGGATTGGTCACCCACACTTCTGTCAGTTTTTAGGCAGAACAGAGAAGGGGCCTATCCTTGGCCCATGGCTCAAAACTTGGAAAATATACTAAAATGTGGAGAAAAGAATCCCCATCCCCTTTAGGTCCATATCTAGAATCTCATTTCTCTCTTTCTATGCAGTTGAGTTTTCAGTTTGAAATTATTGTCTCTCTGTATATGACTTTGTATCTTAAAAATATAAATATTATAATTTTTCATGTACTGTATTTGAACAACACTGCTCTCTTAAAAACAAATATAAAAGAACATGAAATCTTGGCAAACATCCGTAAAATGAGCTTTTCACTAAGAATGTCTACAAAGGTCCCTCTGTCCTTAAAATAACAACTCTTGTCTTTGGAATATACGACTGCTGTTTGCATGCTATGGAGTCACTGAACCAGTTACTTGTGCTGTCCTATTTGGTGTGGGTCCTTCACATACAAGCCTGATGCAGACAGCTCTGCTTCTGTGCCATAACGCCCTGGAGCTCTTTTTCCAGCCAGTGCTTCTAGCTCCTCTGAAAGTAATTTCTGTTCAGGCAGCTGGGGTTACCAAACACTATTTTTTTCCTCTAAATTGGAAATAAATAGGGGATCAGGTGGATAAAGTTTTGTTTTCACATCCCTAGTCTCCTTTGCCCACTAAGGGTTGAAAATGTTGCTACACCCTTACAGCAGCTTGACATGCTGCTCAAAAGATTCTGTTTAGAGTTGGTACTGTCCACCAGTCCTTGCTTTCTTTCTGCAAATGTGTAGCCCAGCTAGTCACCACAGCCTTAGCTCCATGGGATTCACTCCACTGCGGAGAACCTGGCCACATTTGTCAATGTCTTACAAGGTCTGCTAAGTGGGAATCTTCAAGGTGATCTCTTGGCCATCACATGACACTGAGCTTCATGCTGCAAAAGTGCTGTGCATCATGCTGTCATGTGTGGCATCCCTTGGACCTGCCTTGGGACTCCCAAGAAGCAGTACAGCAGAGAAAGCATAAAGGAACAGTGGAGCTGCCTGGAGTCACAGCCAGCTTTTGTTTATCCTTACCAGTAGCTATTGTTCTTGCCCAAACTGGAAAATGTTATAAGTTGATTTTCATATCTGGGCAGAAAATGGATCAGTCATTAATATTTGCACCCTATGTAGCAGTCCCTTTTAGGAAAGGTAGGAAGGATTTCATAAGTTTGGCTTGGAAGCAACTTTTAGCTAGAGTGCCTAGACTCTGACATTTATTTTCTGGAAACTTATTTCTAACATAAGGCATAACTTTCTTATTTGAAGATTTTCTTAAATTGCCTGAGCTACCCAAATGTCAATAAACTTCCCCCTCAAATTTTGTGAAAAATAACTAATTAAGAGTATTTCTCATGCCAGATTATCTGTTTTCCAAAACATTCACAACCCTATGATGTCCAAGATTCAGATTTCTGAAAGAAGGAAAAGAAAGCCCTTGTTTTGACCACAGCTAAGCTAATGGAGAAAACCATGAAGAATGTAGAGGACTAAAGTGGTTTTTCCTTCTCTGAGAGGTTCTTAATCCCTTCTTCTACCTTTCAGTGAACAGAATGAATAAAAATGAGAATTAACTGAGAAAATGTGGAAAATCTGGGTTGGATACCATTTAGTTTTTCCTTTTCTCCACTTTGCTGGTGGTGAAAGAGGGCTAGCTTGGAGCTCCTGGGAAAGATGTTTATGAAAATGAAACTTATGTTCTTAATGTAAAAAGCCAGCAATCTTTTACTCAGCCTGGAAGTTCTCAAAGACTTTGCAGTGTTTGAGCCGTACTGCCTTGGACTGACACCAAGAACAGGTGCCTTTAGAGAAACCTGGGGTCACAGGGCTGAGAACTAATCTCCTATCCAAATAGGGGGTCAGGTCTCAAGAGCCTGCTCCCCCTTTTCTAATGTATCCCCCCTCCCCGCCTGCCCTTCAACCATCACTTTCAAAGCTTGTGAGAGAGAAAAGCAGCTCCCTTCATGCCAGACTCTCAACTTGTGGAATGAATACATCTCAGAATAAGCTGGCTTGCTGCTGGGTTAATTGTAGGCTTCAGACGAACATTTTACTTCTTCCGAAGTCATTTCATGAGTCTCAGCCTGCCATACTGTATGCAGTCCTTGACTGTCTGCCCTTTCCATCACTCAGCCCCATTCCTATTCCAACTGAAAGGCCAGGTCCATCACAGAAGGTAGTCCCATCCTTTCCCTAAGCTTTCTGATTTGCCACTTCTACCAAAGAGTATGTCCTGAACTATAAGAAATCATTTCTCTCATGCCTTCTCTTAGAGCCCATTATTTAATTGCAGAACATAGCAGCAAAATTACCTTTTTAATTAGTTATTTATTTATTTATTGAGTAGGAGTCTCACTCTGTCACCCAGGCTGGAATGCAGTGGTACACTTACAGCCACTGCAGCCTTGATCTGCTGAGCACAGGTCATCCTTCTCCCTCATCCTTCCAAGTAGCTGGAACTACAGAGCATACCACCACGCCCAGCAATTTTTTTTATTTCTTGTAGAGATGAGGTCTCACCAAGTTGCCCAAGCTGGTCTTGAACCCCTGGGCTCAGGCAGTCCTCTCGCCTTGGCCCCCAAAATGCTGGGATTACAAACGTGAGCCACCGCGCCTGGCTACCTTTATATTTAAACATTTTTTAATTATTGCATGTGTTATAAGCACATAGTACTTGTATAATATAGTTAATTCTTAATAAAATATAATTTTTAAAAACAAAACAAAAGAACATAGCAAAAGAAAAATTTGTCTCTGGCAGGTGTCGTGGCTCTCACCTGTAATCCCAGCACTTGGGAGGCCAAGGCAGGAGAATCGCTTGAGCTCAGAAGTTCAAGACCAGTAGCATGATCCTAGCTCACTGCAGCCTCAACTTCCTGGGGTCAGGCTACCATGGCTAATTAAAAAAAATTTTTTTTTTAATTAAATTTTTATCATGCTATTAAGTCAGGGAGACCCTGACTTAAAAAAAAAAAAAAAAAAGAGTCTGTCTCTGATTTCTCTCAGGACTTTATAGCAAACGTCTACTCTGGTAGCCACCCTTGAACTGCAGAATCCTGTCATATGCTGACCCGTGTCTCACAGTCTTGTTAGAGAGACAGACCAGAACCCTAGGACAGTGTGACTTGCTGGGATGGGGCATGGAGGAGAAAGAGTGTGCAACTTAGATAGTACTCTGGAAGGCCTCCCAAGAAAAGTGATGCCCAGGTTTTAAAGAAAAAGGAGGAAGTAGCCAGGAAAGGGAGAGGGCACTCTGAGCAAGGTGCAGCTGGGTAAAAGACCTTGGCCTAGGGAGAAAATGTAAGTAGTCATGGTAGCCTAAGCTGGCGGGTAGATATTGGAGGGTGGTGGCAGGTGCTAAAGCTAGAGCTGCCGGAGACCTGAACCCAGGTGAGGAGTGGGACTAATCCTTACAGATCCTGGGCTGGCGTACCCAAGAGGCGTTTGCCTTGTTTTTTTGCTTGTTGCTTTGTTTTCCTGACTCTCACCAGAAAGCGGCCTTTATAATTACCAAATAAGATTTTTAGCTTGCAACTGGGTGATTTTGAACATGAGCATTTTCTAAAATTGTAATGCATTCCTATGAAATGCCCTGATGGGCCACCTAGCTTTAGGATTGGGGAGGCAGTACATGAAGCACTTGAGTACCTAGGTCTACACTCCAACAACCTGGGTTCTAATCCATCCCAAACACTTGACAACTGTATGGCCATGAGCAGATTACTTCTCTGAGTTTGCCAGTCTGAAATAAATCAAAACTACCATATCACAGAGAATTAAGTGAGAATTAAGTTAAATTAAGCAAAAGTTTAAGAATAGCTTAGGAATTTTTGAATAAGGAAAGTAAATGTGGAGGAGTTACACTACTAGATATCAAGATGTATCATAAAGCTACAGCAATTATGCTCACTTTGGCAGCACATATACTAAAATTGGAATGATACAGAGAAGATTAGCATGGCCCCTGCGCAAAGATGACATGCAAATTCGCGGGGGAAAAGAAAACTACAATAATTAAGGCAGCATAGTATTGGCACAAAGATAAGCAAATGGAACAGAATGAAATGTCTAGAAACAGACCCACATGTATATGGACAGTTGATTTATGGCAAGTTAGCACTGCACGGCAGTGAGGAAAGAATAATCTTTGCAATAAGTGCTACTGGGTACAGCTAGATAACCTTATGAAGGGAAAGGCTTTGTAGGAGGGG